AGGCCTCTCTCATCTTTTTAAGTGGGAGAACTTGCACAATTGGTGGCTGACTAAATACTTTTTTGCCCCACTGTATACGAAATGTATTCTACGTTTGCTGAATGGAATCAGATGTTTATTCTAGAGAGAGGGGAGAAAACTTCCCAAGTTTTGAAAAAATGACTATGTACCTGTAATTTCTTACAAGAACTTGATTTGTATATCATTCAGTAGCAAATAATAAAATATTTGAAATGCCCCACATAAGGAACATGTAAAATTCACCTCAACACGTTAGCATACATACCCACAACACCTAGATATAATGAATGTTATGCACCACAATTAAGCTCAGAAGAAACTTTTTCAAAAGCATGAAAAAACTTTGTAACCATGCTTAATTATCTCAGACTGTCTTATCCCCAAAGATACTCTGCAGTAATTGTCTTTTTATTAGTCTTCTTTCTACATCCCTTCAGCCTGCCTTTGTTTTCCCAGGCAAGGAAGGTGATTGCTAATCTTAAATTGTGGAAATAAAAAATAGTTCTATGCTGGACCGAATGGCAGGTGACAGTTGGCAGAAATTTATTTTATTTTATTAAAATTATAAGGCCACCCAACTTGTATGATTATGATTCTGGGCAGTATGCAGTAAAAACAGTAATAAAATGCAGATAAAGAAACCCGAACATCTGGGGAAAAAACTAAACAGAAAAATACATGGGACCCTCCTCTTACTTTAACCCAAGGCCTTGGAGAAAGAACCAAGTTTTTGGAGTTCTTTTAAACACAATTAGGGTGGAAGCCAGATGAGTCTCAGTCGAAGTGGTGTTCCAGAAGGCAGATGCTGCAACAGAAGAATTCCTAGCTAAAGCAATTCTTACTTGCAGTAGGTTACCATTTAGTTACTTAAGACTAAATGGTACACCAGGAACATCCTTTTGGATTGCTGAAGTCTGTAGGTCCATGTAGTTTTGAAATGTGTGTCACATATTGTTCAACTGGATGCATTTGGGAAGCTCACAAGATTGGACTGGAGAGCGATAGCACCCCTCCACTGTTGCTTCCCAGCAACAAGGGGTATAAGCTATGCTACCTATGATTTTGCAGGTAACCAATATTGATTGCTATCAATACCCTGACCCTCTATGAACCTGACAAATCTCATTTTGGAACTATCCATATTGGCTGTCATTTGCTGGCAACAAATTCTAATGTCTTTACCCACCTTACCTTGACATGATTTAATATACCTCATTCTTTCTAACCTAAGAGCCCCAATTGCAGTAGTCTTCTTTTGTAGGACAGATGCTCTAGCCTCTTTAAATGTTTTGGCTGCCATTTTTGCATCTTCTCTTGACTTAACCTATAGTGACTGAAAATGTATATAATATTCAAAGTATAGTATCACTGCAGGTTGTATAAGAACATTATTCTATCTCAGTGTTTCCAACCTGTTCTATGCCCCACACCCCTAGGAAACGTTTGATTAATGTTCACACCTCCTACAAAAGTAATATT